TCGCACACACAAGATATTTAACACACGATATTGAGGCAATCATCATGGCAAACTATAAGAAATTCGCTGGACGACCTTGCCTGCAATAAAATCGGATTTTGGCAAATAACATAAATTGAAAGTATATAGTCTATATTTAGTAATTAGGTTACTGTCGGGCAGCGACACATTTCTTTCGACAAAATAAGGAGGGTTTTTCTTTCTCTAAAGTACGGAATTATGAATGTGCCAGAAAATGACAGATAGATTCAAAGAGCCATGGTATACTTTCCAATAATGTATAACACGACAGGAATTTCCATATATTAATAGGGGAGCTGGGAAGCTCAAGGCAGAACGAGGGCATGTCACAATGGAGGCAGACGTGAATTAGGACGATGGCCGTAATGACTACAATATGATACGTTATGTCCCTGTGTGCTGTTTTGGTTGCTATACATGTAATGATTTTTAATGTCTGTTCCTATATTGTTGACATAAAAAGAGAGAGAGAGAGAGAAAAATGGGGTTTAACGTCCACTAGACACAAACTAGGTCATTTCGGGACTAACATATGGTTTTTATTTTTATTTCACTAATTCGATTGAGCATAGGGGTCTTTAGCAGTGGGAGGAAACCGGAGGACCCGGAGAAAACCCACGAGGTTGGACAGGCGACCCTACTCCTTGTCACGTACAACCGGGGATTCGAAACCACGCCAGTCGACTCAATGACAGACTTTATGATACAGCGCGCGCACGCTAACAGAAGTCCAATCCACACTCATCGTTATCAGTTTTATCAATGAGCGTAAACAGTGTATCCTTTTCAACTATAAGTGATATAAACACAAACTATAATCCACCATAATATGTTTGACTGATATGAACAAAAACTGTGTAATCACACCATCATATACTTGACTGATATAAACAATAAATTAGTACAAATACACACATTGTATTCTTTTTTGCAATGTATTCTACCATGGAAGCCTAAAACTAATTTTCGCCCTTGATTTCCCAATACTTCCAAGTACCACCACATACTACCTTAATATTGTGAAAAACTAACATAATACTTCAATTATATAAAACTAAATATGAATTAATTCTCGGAAGTACAATTTTATTTACGATAAACTGGAAAAGTCTATTTATAGTATCAGTACCCGGTAGCTTAAGCGGCTGAAAGGACTACCCCAATATGACCAAATACCTCCATATTCTTTCCCAGTACTACAAAATGCAACCCCATACTACCTTATTATTATCCAAAACTGACAGAATACTGCCATTACTTCTATATCAGGGGTCAATCTTGATTGCATTTTGGAGAATAAAACAGTTTAATTTTGTGTGACAAGCCCTTAAAAACCACTACCCTAGGGGTCGAGCAACTAACTCAGTATACGTGATATGTTTTCAAACAAATTAAACCTGCCAGTCTTTATCTGGAAATGGAGACCGGTGCCCCAAACAGTATAATACGGTGTCTGGATAAAACCAGGCTTTTATTTTATAAAAAATAACATGTAGGTGAAATTTACTGTTCGTTATCAAGTAAAGCACATGCATCACGCACTGTTTTGACCTGTTAAGGAATGATAATAGATTATCAGGTCACCCATCGAAAAAATTGACCAGAAATCTTAAAAGGGTTACGTTTCTGGATAAGCGGTTTTGACGTTCATGTCCAAACGACTCAATATTTTGAGCTGAAACTTTCACACAGGGTAAATGGTGTGAAAATGAAAACTCAGCATTTTCTTTGTGAGTGTTTTCTTTTCTAATACGTATTATCCAGTCTTTGACACGTACGTAGTCCTGTTTCAGCATTTATTCACCGCGTTGATTATTCAATTATGTTCCCTTCCGTAATTTTAAGCATATTTCTAAATGGAATTTCATTAATGTTGCACGAATGTCTAAGGATACTTCAGTCTAAGAAATCAAAATTTCTACATTCGGTTACCTACACACTCATGTTTTCTTTTAACCACTTTCTATTTGATTAGAGTATGAAGGTCACAGTGGATATCTAAGCTATATGACTATATAGACATCATGTATAAGCGTACGTAATATAGATTCTTAGCCTATTTTATAGACCAGTAGGAACGATAACACACTGTTTTAGCCATTGGGCGTGGGAGGTGGGGGTGGGATATAAGGAGTATTTATAGTTGTACTGATTTATATACTACTAGAAGAATGCCCGGCTTCGCTCGGGGGTCATAACCCCGAAACCGGAAGTGGTAGACTAACACCACCTGGCCTATGTTACTCCCCGGTCCGAGCTACCCCTATACACCAAATTTCAGACTCGGGGCAGACCTAGTGTAGCCGCCAACCCCGAACAGACAGACAAACAGACAGATAAACGACAGTCACAAATATTAGTATAGATTTTATAAATTATAAATATAATTGTATGGATTTATATACTATAGATTTAAAAAGTTGTCTATTTAAAGCAGGAGATATAAAAGTCAATCTATTACTAGAATATAATTTAGAAAAAGCGACGCGAAGGCTATTCGCCGCTTTTTTAAGGGCAGCGTTTTGTTATAAAGTCGACTTTGCTAATTTATTACTCCATAACTTAACATTGAAAAAAGCGACGCGCGAAGTGGCTGAAATTGAAGACAGTATATTATATATAGAACTGTTTGTAGTTCTGTGTGATACGTTTAAAAAACAATTTGTCTGTCATAGCCATATCATAGTTCAGATATTCATTGTATTCATAATAATCTAATCTAGAAAATGCAACGTTCAGTATGTAAAATGTATTGTCGCCTTTTCTTCTATAACACCGAAAAACCCATATGACAGGGAAAAGAGAGAAATTGTATGTTAATTTGTGGCATCTCTGTAAGAACGACCGACACAAAAGGGTAGCTGGCATAGCAAATTACCATTTCATGCACATTTTAACACAAATCCCACTGCCGACAGTCAAGAATGGTTGGCCAAAGTCCCGAGTCTTTCCTAGGTCTTACGTAAAATACAATTTGAAAAAGAGTAGCCTAGAACTCTCTTATTTACTATAAAAATCTGTTTTATTTTAACAAGCTTCCACCATATGCCCAAATTTTTGTCAAGAGAGAGAGACAGTGAGAAATGGATTACTTCGCTTGAGCGTAGGGGTCTTTAGCAGTGGGGAGGGGAGGGGGAGGACCCAGAGAAAACCCAATGCCACTTGACCAAATGACAGACCTTATGATCCAACCTCCTTAGATATCATTAACAGAACATTATATAAAAGGTAAACAATTCTATGAACAAAAACTATGCAAAAATAATTCCGAGTTTTCGGCAAAGGACGAAAAGTCGGAATTTGTTTTTTCGAGTTTTCGGTACAGTACGAAAAGTCGGATTTTTTTCCCGAGTTTTCGGTAAAACATCAAGTCAAAACCTAAAACTCGGAACTGTTAAACTATTTTCGGTATGGTCGTTAAAATCGGGATGGCCCCTTTAATTCCGATAATAAGTGCAAACATTTGAAGTAACTATTTATAGCATCAGTGATAAATGAAACGGCTAAGCATTGAATAAATAATTCATTTTTCACAAATAAACGTGTTGTAATTCAAATAATTGTACCTTTATCTCATTTTTGGGTAATGTTGGCCCATTATTTTACAGAAATCGATTTCTAATAGTATGATATGGGTTAGTACTGGGTGATCAAGGGGGGTAAATGAAACATCGCGACATTGGCCATCACTTTTGCCGTAGATTTTTGCAAGTTTTCTTTGAATTAACTTCATTGTTGTTTTTCATAATTGAAGTATTCTGATTGTTGTTCACAATTTTGAGGTAGTATTTAGATAGTATATAGAGGATATTTGTCGTTTTAGAGTGAATAACATATTTTATTTCATCGAGAAGCAAGAAAACTTTTATTTTCACGAATGCGTTTCATGAGTGAAAATATAAACGTGTTCTTGCTTAGAGATGAAATAAAATATGTTATTCACGACAAAACGAAAAATGTTCTATTTATTTTATGATTTTACAATCATTTTAGGTAAAAACAACATGGATTACTTTGTCCGCTTCTAGCCAGTGGAATAACACTTTTATTCCACTGATAAAACGCGGTATTCCACTACTGATCATAAAATAAATAGTGGTATTGGGTAGAAGAGGGTGAATCGTTCAGCCACCTGCAAAACGCGAAAGTCGAAAAGTTGAAGTCACGACAAAACGTATGCACACACACACATCTATCAAAAATCGGATCGAAAATTGAAAATTAAGAAATAAACACAAGGAAATATTAGCGAACCTCGTTTTTTCGTGATCTCGACATTTCAAGTTGCATTTTTGCTTGTGTAGCGTGATGTAGACTTGGGTATTTATTGATTATTCGTGTCAGTAAGAAGTCACCATCACGCACATTAAGCAAAACTGCAACTATAAAAGTAGAATTTTGGAAATTAACACGTGGCCATATTAGCTGCCTTTTATTTTGGCTTGCTGTCGTGCTGACTACTTTTTGAATTTCGCCATCTGAAATTGCGAATGCTTCCATAATATTCTACTTAGTTTTCGAATACGCAATAATTTGTGCATTATTGACATTTCAAATTGATATGACTTACATCCATATTTGTGTGAATGAATCTGGTGTAACTTTAATTCTTATACCGTTTCAGTTTATTTAGAAGAGCATCCAAATGGAAGAACTATGTTATTTTGGCGATGCTTCTGGTCATTTTGTACATGTACATGGCTACCATTAAGATGATAAAAACTCGAGTAATTCACTCTTCAACAGTCACATCTCATTTTCTGGTCGACACAGGAGTTTGTCATATTCCCAAAGAGGATCCATTCGATTCGTCCATCAACACTTTGGTAAAGGATAAAAACTTCATCAAATGTAGCCGTGTGACGTCATTGACCTTTCAAGACGGTCAAGGGTTAAGGTTAAACGTGGATGTGATAAATACTAAATATAATGGAAATTTTTCTTATTGTGAATATCATGGTATAAACCGTGGCAACAACATGGATGACAATAAATACCAATATACACAGAATGGTACGATATTTAATAGGGATATTGTGGTTACTGAACAGTTTATACGTGTTAAATGTTATGATAAATCACACATTGTTATATATTCTAATTACCACGCCTTTATCTTACCACAACCAATCAGGCTTCAGCAATTAAAGACTAGCTTTAGTGGGCACGTGGAAGAGAAAAACCCACGGGAAACCTTGAACGTTGTTATGATTGGTGTCGATTCTGTTTCGAGATTAAATCATATGAGATATATGCCTAAAACACGTGACTACCTATTACGTCATCTTGATGCTATAGAATTACAAGGTTACAACAAAGTAGCTGATAATACTTTTGTTAATATCGTTCCCATGACAACCGGACGTTTTGTGGAAGAGTTACCGTGGAATGAACAAAAAAGTGGAGAACCTTTTGATAAATATAATTTCATCTGGAAGAATTTTTCTTCTAGTGGCTATTTTACTTTGTACGCTGAGGACGATCCCGAGCTTAACATCTTTAATTATATGAAACGTGGATTTCACGTTCCACCAGCCGATCACTATTATCGTCCATTTGCCCTGGCCGTAGAGGGGGATAACTCTGCATGGACGTCGGATCATCATTGTGTTGGGGATCGATTTGAAACTGACATGATTCTTAATTATACGAAAGATTTCCTGAAATTGTATCATAAGGTCCCATATTTTGGTTTCAACTTCCTAAGCCGATTAACTCACGATTCAATATCGAACACGGCCTCAGCTGATACCCCCTACTCAAACATGTTCAGGGATATTGACAATCAGGGCCTACTTAAGAACACTGTGTTGATATTTTTCAGTGATCATGGAATGAGATTTGGAGAGATCCGAGAAACATACATCGGTAAATTAGAAGAACGACTGCCGATGATGTTTTTAGTTTTTCCAAAATGGTTTTATAAAAAATATCCCCAAATAACACAAAATTTAAAAATAAACCAAAATCGATTGACGACACCATTTGATATTTACGAAACTTTAAAGGATATTTTGTATTTTACTGGTGACGTCAAAGGTGTCGCAGACGTTAAACAAAGGGGGATAAGTCTATTTAAAGAAATTCCGGTGTCTAGATCATGTGACCATGCTGGTATATTACCACATTGGTGTACGTGTATGTCACGACAAGAGGTATCTATCAACGATCAGTTTTATAATATGAGCGTCAATTATTTAATAACTTATATAAATCAACAATATGTGTTAAATAACGTTACAGACATATGTTGGCCATTAAAATTAGGACGTACGAAATCGGTCCACATCATAAAAAGTAACGATAAACTTTTGAAGTTCAAGCAAAGTTTGAATGACGTCATAAACAGGACCGTGTCATTTAATGACAAAAGTGTACATTCAACATACATTTTTCAAGTAGCCGTATCACTGATGCCCGGATCAGGAGAATTTGAAGCAGCCGTCCGGTACGACGAAACAACTGGTAACTTTACAATGGCGGGGGATATTAGCCGAATAAACAAGTATGGACATGATTCTGATTGTGTCCATAGAAGTTTTCTTCGTAAATTATGTTTCTGTAGATAATATTGAAATCATGGGGAGATGCTTCCTTCCTAAATTTTTCTAATTCTTTATTGTGTTTCCTTCTGACACAAAAAATATAATGAAATATAGAAAACAAAAAAGAGTATTTATTTTTAATTGTATTGCGAACTGGTCCCAAAGCTCTACTTGTTGTCGTCTATTGTCGTTTGTTTGTTGTTGGTGGTGTTTGTTGTTGCTGTCTGTTGTTTAAAAAGTCTAATGCTCTGCCAATTCATGCACGATCGACATGAAACTTGGTATGCGTCTTTCTTACCTTCCTTGTCATCAATATTTTATAATTATGATGGATCCGATGACGTCATATCCAGTACCTGATCCATAGTAACGTGTGTTTTTTTTTTTTTTTTTTTGTTAAATTATCTTACTGGTTAAATTATCAATCTGTGTTTTACCATTGTTAGTACTATGTTTGTCAGTGATAAACCCATTTCCGTCAGATTATTCAGATCTATTATTGTATCCAATTAGTTTTTAAACTTAAATAGCAAAACCCTTTACAGGAAGAAACCCTATACAACACCCCGCCCCTCCCCCTACTACTTATATTATTGTTTCGCTCGGACTGATCAGCGAGTCTGTTGTGGCAATGGCGCGCACTACCCCCCCCCCACCATTTAAGAGTTCAACAAAAGGTAATTTATTTATATTATGGACGGAATGGGAAAAAAATGTAAATTGGTTTACTGCACACTCCCCGTTCGACAGCGATAGTTATCACTGATTAACTTTAACAATTTATATTATGGATGGTATTGTACAATCAAAAATGTAAATAATTGGTTTACTGCACACTCTCCGTTTGGCAGCGATAGTTATCACATCCCACTTCTACTCGTTGCCACTGGCAACCTTTGATAAAACTGTCCTTTTTATTTTCAATACATGCTTAAGAGTATCTGTGTATCAGAAATGTACAGAAAGAGTACTGTTCATTTCTGATACACGGATACATTTATACCGTTTTAGATACCTATCAAGCAATAAGTAGCGGACGTTTAGTCCGACCCAGATCGCAATTGATAACGATGCCTCTAAACAATGCACAAGGATAATGTACATGAAACAACTAGTCAAAATCATAGTAACAAAACAAAATGGGGGGAACTACATGGCAGTTCAAAAACATATACAATGACATTAAATTAACATAACAACATATTACAAAAATCAATTATTATACATATCAATTGACATCTATTTCATAATTTGGTTTGATTTATATTAATATGCAAAATATATATAAATTAGAATATTGAATAATTATTTTAATTAATTGTGATGTTAGAAGGCGCAGTTCTCTTGCTGGACACTTCACAGGCATTGAAAATAAGCAGGATGAAAAAAACGCCTAGAAAGTCATAAACTTTATTACAAATAAATTTCAACGGAAGAACCATCCGCCGATGCATACTTTCACCAGGAATGACCCACGTTTCGCATTTCCGTTACACTACATTTAATAATATCGCAGTCCTCTACGCCATAGACAAGTTGTTTTGACGACGTGGACTAAACAAACACGTGATTGTTTTTTTTTGGGGGGTTTTTGACTACAATTGGTGCAAGCACGATGAAGTAGCTCTGATAATGTTTTGTAAATTAAGAGTAGTTTCTGTGTGAATTTCAACATCATATTTGCTACAGACAGACTTTTAAGTACAAGGAATTTGGTGAGCTGTTTTATAGAGATAATTACACTGTAATTATTATAGAATTTACAAGACAAATTTTTCGACAACTCAGTCAACTGTTCACTGACTACTAGTCACCTGTACATAACAACACACCTTGACCTACTTACGGTCTACACCTGTGTGTCTCTTAACTTGACTGCAGACTGGCGATTGTTTAGTTATTGGCTTGGATGTTGCTTTTTTCAAGCGATTTACTGTAATTAATGAATAAAAGGAAAAACAAACGACGGAAGGGTTCCAGTGGATCTTTTAATTCCAGTAATTCTGTTTTAAATGACAGAAGTTTAGTCAACTCTTCGTCTGTCTTTGCTCAAGCCATGCAAACATTAAATGATCACGACGAAAACCTTAGTCAACCACCTTATCTATATACAACCAGCACACCCAACTTTACGAAATCGGTTGGAGCTGAATCACAGACAACTGCCAAAAGAGATTCTAATTATCCTCCATCCAATGTTAATCCGGAGTACCTGAATATAGGTCAAGCACTCTTTGAAATCAATAATCGGTTACGTAAGCTGGATATTATTGAACGACAGATCGGAAACATGGCTAAAGATCTTACCTTAGTGAGGAATGAAGTAACCACTAATACAAATCGAATCAAGGATGTCGAGGTCAAGTTCAATAGTATTGAAACTGGACTGCAATTTCAGTCTAACTCTATTGATAAGTTGCAGGATAGTAATAAAATTCTCATTGAAAAATTAAATAGTATTGAGTCTGATAATCGTGACCTAAAGCAAAATGTCATTGACCTGAAGTGTAGAGAGATGCGGGACAATCTCTTATTTTTTAATATCAAGGAAACGCCAAACGAAAATTGCCAAGCTTTAGTTCACGAGTTCATTAAAACCAAACTAGATATACCCAATTCTGAAACAAGGATTAAATTTGATCGTGTTCATAGGCTTGGAAAAAGGCGAAGCACTAGGCAAAACATCCCCGATGATAATAACGCTGATATAGCGCCAATTGAATTGGTTGCTGACAAAGACTCCAGACCGATTGTCGCTAAATTTAATTATTTCCAAGAGAGAGAAGAGGTACGTAAATGTGGGTACCTACTGAAAGATACAGGTTTCGGCGTTGGAGAACAATTTCCAAAGGAGGTTGTGGCAAAACGGAAGGAATTACTACCAGTGTTTAAACGGGAGAAGGCTAGAAATAATCGCGTATCTTTGGTTCAGGATAAATTGTATATAAATGGTGAATTATATAATCCGAGATAGGACAGGTTAGGGGGCCAGCTTACAATTTTATGTTGGAACATTAATGGTGGTTTGTCGGGTAAACTAAATGACCAAAATTTCTCGGAATATATAAGCAAATTTAGCTTAATTTTTTGCATTCATTCCGGTAAAAACGTGAAGCGATGTACCTTACCAAATTATGACAAACACTTAATAATCCGATCAAAATGTCAAAATGGAGGTGGTATTGTTGTGTTTTGCAAAAATTCTTTGAAATCAAAATTTAGTATTATAGAGCAACATGATTATGGAATTGTTATTTGTAAATTATCTGATTTATTACTGAATGTAGACTTATTTATATGTTGCATTTATATACCTCATGAAAGATCAAAATTTTATCATATATATGACATCGATTTCTTCAATACTATACAATCACTTTATGTTAAATATAATTCATCTGGAAAATTCATCTTGTGTGGCGACTTTAATAGTAGAATATCCAACCTTGCCGAATATATTACTTTTGACACTTTCAAAGTCAATTTCTGTGATTTTGATAATATAAAAATTGTACGAAAATCAGAAGACACGATTATTAACAGTTTTGGGAAGAGATTGATTGAATTGTGTAGAAATACAGATCTATATATTCTAAATGGCATTCTTGAACCGGGAAAATTTACTTGTAGTACTGTTAACGGATCTAGTGTTATCGACTACTTTGTTTGTGACAAAAGCTGCCTTGACTTTATTCAAAGTTTTGAAGTTGATAGCTTCCAGGTTTATTCAGATCACGCCCCTTTAATATTATCTATAAACTGTGATATTTGTGTCAATGATAAAAGTGATGGTTTGGATCAATCGGTCAATTGCGTCAGCACCCGTTGTCTAAAATGGGAACCAGAAAGTGCAACACTTTTACATAATATACTATGTGATAATACAGACCAACTCATACATATTCTTGATGAATTTAACACAAACTCTGTAAGTGTCACTGAAAGAGTTAATCGCACGGCTGACAATTTTACTACCTGTCTATTTGATGTTAGTTTCACAGTCATTGGTCGTACAAAAACTGGCGCCCAAATCAAAAAACCTCAAAATCAAATTAGTAATAAGTGGTTTGATTCAAAATGTGCTACCGCTAGGGACGACTTTATCAAAAATCGAAATAATTATAGTAACACACGGGATGCCAGAAACAGAATTAAATTTGTACACTCCAGAACAAATTATAATAATGTCATCCGATATGCTAAAGAAGATTTTCGTACTAAATGCGGTCTTGACTTACTTTCCACAGCAAAAGATAATCCCAAGCAATTCTGGAAAACTGTTACTAAGTACAAAGGTTCTGCGCATGGTTCTGATCAATCCAGTTATATACCTCTTCAAAACTTTTATGTCCATTTCTCTGATGTTTTCAAATCTTCTAATGTTACTTCCAATGCTACATTTTGTTACGATAATTGTACAAGCGTTGACGAACTTGACGCGCCTTTTTCTGTACCAGAGATCAATGGGGCCATAAATGTACT